CCCCCCCCCCCCCCCCCCCCGGAGCAACCTCAGCATCCTCACTCTGGATCATACTCTCGCGTGTAGATGCCACACCCCTCCTCTCACTGCCCCTGTCCTCCGTCCGTCGAACTACGCTCTCGTCCATGGTAACGTCCACCTGAACCTCCAAGCTGTGTCCATCCCTCCGCTCTCTCCGGTGTTCAATCCTCTGGTCAACCCTCTGCTCCGCCCTGTCGTGCACCACCCCATCTACCCTCTGCTCCACCCTCTGTTCCACACCAAGCTCTGCGACAGACGCTGGTAATGGGTCCGCCCTGTCATCCACCCTCTGGCTGACGTGCGTTGAGGAAGCACAACCAATCCTCTGCTCCGAGGTCTAAACCACTGCAGGACGAATGACGCCACTGACCCTACGCTCTCCACCTCCGCCCGCCACCTATCCATCACCATCCCCATCATGTAGCACGACCCTCTGGACAACTGACTAAGTGATGCTCTGTGAACCGCCGCCTCAATGTATAACCTGCTCAGCGACCTGGCGCACCTGGTGTGTGTCCTCCGGCCTGTCATCCGCATGATGACCCTCCCTCCCAATCATCTCCTCTGCCCCTCGCAGAATCCTCTCAGCAGCGTGATGGGGTGCTGCAGAAGCCGACGTACATGTATCAACTGAAACAACTCCAGTATGTCCTCCCTCTCCGGCAGTCGACGAATGTGGAACGTGCTGACTTCTCTCCTCCTCCTGCCCTACCCCCAGAAGCTCCTCAAAATCTAACCCACCCCCAACCCTCCCCCGTAGACTCCTCACGGTATCCACACTCTGCCCGATGTACGCGTCGAAATTGATGTGAGGGTCTGCTCCACCCCACTCGTCCAATAAGTCATGTTGGTCCTCAGGCAACGTACAGCCTGCGTCTCTCTGCTCCTGCCCTGCCTCCATCATCTCTCTGTGCATCCATACCGCATCTTGCCAAAGGGCCTCATCACCCTCCTCATCCTCATCCTCATCCTCCATCGGTGCCTTCCCCTTTCCAAATCGATTACGCCCCTCCTTCCTCATGTTCCTCCTATCGATCTCCTCCCACTCCTCCTCTGGCACCGCTGCGGGGACACTGTCGTCAACGTCGATCTCCTCCGCGGGGTCCTCCACCTGGTCCTCCCACACATCAATGTACCGGCTGTCCGTCCTCCTGCTGGCACTGAGGAGCTCCAAGTTCCAGTGAATGAAGACCAGCTTCTCGACACTCTCTACAGAAAGGCGGTTCCTCCTCTTCGTGTGGATGAAATCGTGGGTGGACCAGTTCCTCTCGCAAGGACTGGCCGTGGACCACATACCCAAAACCCTCTTCGCAATCATCTGCAGTCTCGGCTGCTGGCGACCGTGAACCTCCCACCACATCGCTGCATGCATCCCCCCCTCCGCCGCGTCCTTGACCGCAAACTCGTCCACCAGTGCGCTCCAGTCTTCGGCCAATAGCGAGGGTCCTCGAAATGGAAATTCCACAATGCCTGCCAAAGCGTATGCACAGAATCAGACTCCCAACTCGCACCCTCGAAGCGAGCCAAGTGGTCTAGCGCGCTCTGCACGAGGGAGCTGTTGCGGTCCGCCAGCAATGAGATATCACGACGACGAGGATCCAACAGATACGCTGCCGCATGGGCAGGCTGACGCATCATCCTGCATCTGTCGGATATGATATCCATGACCGCTCTCCTCTCATCCTCCGTCAGTCCAAGAGCCTTGACCCTCCCCCGCAATATGCTCTCCAAATCCCACAATCCTGTGGGTGACGACCCATCCCTGTCCATGTCCCTAAGGAACCTGAAGCACGGGGCCATGACGTCCAGAACCATCTTCACCCGCCCCCACAAAGAATTGCCTGTGCACATCCTACGCACCTCGGGCTCATCCCTCCTCGCATCACTAGTCCACCGCACCTGCGCCCACGACTCCCCTGACACGAGCTTGTCTAACACACCTCTCTGCTCATATAGCCTCTCCAGCATCATGAACGCTGTCCCAAAACGCCTCTCCGCTGGTCGCTTCAGTACAAGCGCGTTCCTCATGGTCTTGTGAAGTGCTAAGGCTCGCTGTTTGTTGCGCATGAACTTGACTAAATGATCCGCCTTCCTCATGACAGTGGTCGCCCAAGGCTGCGCCGCAATGTCCCTCGGCAGCAAGCTCAAGCAATGTGCTGCACACGGGATCCAAGGTATGCGACGAATACGTGGGTCAGGGTGTGACTGCAGAATGCCGGCTGCTGTCTTCATCACTTCTGCGTTGTCGGTGCAGATGGCATTCACCTTGTCGATGCCAATGTCATCTCTGATCACTCCCTCCCATATCTCTGCCAGGCCGACTTCCGTCTTCTCCCGATGTGACATGTCGATGGTCCGGATGAGGATGGGTCCGGACTGTCCTGCTGCTATGAAGTTCTTGATGGGCTTGTTGATTGTGTCGGTAGCCCCATCTGTCAGCAACGTGCATTCTGTGGTAGCCCACTTCGCCTTTTTAGGTGCAATGAGGTCTGCTACCTCGTGGAAAATGATGTCCATCATCCTCATGCGGACTCCCTCGTATGTCAGCAGTCGTGGTACTGGCACGATCGAAGGACGCAAGAGTGTGACTATGTAGTTCCAATAGTCCTGCGTCTCCTTCAACCGCAACCAGCTAAAGGGCACTCCACCTCGATAGATAGCAAGGGCCAACAAACGATCAATATCCTGTTGGACCTTGTTCCCTACATGAACATCTAGGGTCGTCTGTCTCCTCCTCGCCACCACCTGTGTGGAGGTGGTGGCCGTCGTGCCAGTAACCCAAGCTCCCCCTCCATCCCCTCCACCATCTCCTGCACCTTCAACGCCCCGCAACTCATCTCTCACAGTCCCGGCATCCTGCCCCTGCTGTGTACCACCCTCCCCACGATCACCGTCTCCAACTCCACCTGCACCATCCGACACCGGCTCACATGGCTCGTCCAACTCACGCAGGTCCCCTGCGGCGAGCTCTCCATCCATCCTGTCTGCGTGTTCAGCAGTCAGTCTCAGTGACAATGCATCCCTCACCAAAGCACCAGCCGCTTGCAGTCTATACAAATCTCCCCATTCCGTCGGGGGCAGTGTGCCTTCGGTTTCGTGAAGTGCTCCACTGCTCTGGACCTCAGACCCGTGAACACCTCCCCACACAGTCGGCAGCGCAGAACAAAGTTGCCTCCGCCCGCCAACCCCCACTCTTGCCCCCTTTCCGTCCACTCCCATACCACATGTGTTCGCCTCAGATCTGCTTGCTTGTGCGCAGGCAGTGGCTGGAAGGGAGGGAGCAGCCCCCCTCGTGGCCGTCTACCGCCTGTCGCCATGACTACGACTGGGAGGAACAGGATAGCGACTGGCCGCCTATGACCGCTGGCCCAAGGAATGAATGATTGCTAACTCTCCAATCCCTTGAATTGGTGTGGAATAATGTGAGACCACTTCGTCAGCCTGGCATGCAGCAAAGGCTCAAGCTGCATGGACAAACCAAGACGGCCATGGAGTTACATACGGCCACATTTGTTAATTGAGTGCATAATCGATTGATAGTCTCCATTGATTGATTGATTGATTGATTGATTGATTGATTGATTGATTGATTGATTGATTGATTGATTGATTAAAGAGGAGATCCCGATGGAGGAGGACGAGAAGGAGGAGGAGGAGGAGGGGGACGTCCCGATGAAGGAGGAGGAGGAGGCCGTCCCGATGGAGGAGGAGGAGGAGGAGGAGGAGGAGGAGGACGAGGCAGCCCCGATGGAGGAGGAGGAGGAGGAGGAGGAGAAGGAGGAGGTCCCGATGGAGGAGGAGAGGGAGGAGGAGGAGGACGAGGAGGTCCCGATGGAGGAGGAGGAGGA